AGCCGTGGGATAGCGCTATCCACCCTTCGTACAACCGCGGGCGCAAGGCATTAATTTTCGCTTCTCTAATTTTCGCGATAACTTTTTTTCGCTGGGATTAAATTTCACTATTTTTGTTGCAATCACGAAGTCGCGCGAACATTCGGGTACCGYACTGGTAATTTCTTTTTTGGCGGGAATTAAATTTCACAAGTCGCGCGAAAATTCGATGGGGTACCTGTACCACTTGACCGCTTTCGGTGGGTTCAGCGGTGTTCCCCCAGTACAGTAAGATGCTCTCTAGATTTCGGTTTTGTGTTGTTCCTCACAAATAATTCACGACGAAAAATGCTCTAAAAGCCTTCTTCAACGACTAAATAAGGTCACAGGGCTTTGAAGAGGAGCAATGAGTAAGCAACCAGCTGGTGGCTTAAAAGGCAAGCAGAAGAGGCTGTCAATAAGACGCACTCGTTCACCGAGCAATGAAATTGGCYGCCATGATGGATCTACTGTCAACGAAGCAGTCGAAAGTGCCATCCCGCCAGCCACTCGTGCTCGGCTCTGGAACCTTTTTGAACAGATAGAAAGAGAGTTTGAAGGTGTCTACATCGAGAATTTAGCCTGTGAGTAGAATTATTCGTTTTTTATAATAAAAAGAATGGCTATTCTTAACGCGAAAAATGTATAGCCAATCGAAGTGGAATATTGTTTTGATCTGTATCCATATTTACTTAGATGTTGAATTATTCATTTGCGAAAATTTTTAATGCGTTAAAAAATGAATACTCTTATTCTTAAAACCCTAAAACCTTTAACTGCAAGCATCCATTTAGGATTGCTCTTCCTTTAAGAAAAACATTGTACAATCAAAATTTAAAATGTATGGAATTTCCAAAACAGAATCTTCCATGTTGTATAACGACACGTTTTGTTTATAATTCTTGTTTTGATAATATGACAAGAAGTTAAATACGTTCAATCTTTAAAGACATCTTGAAAATAGCAGTTTTTAGGTATTTTTATTTATAACTGTTCAAATCTTCATTTCACTTTCGTTTAGTATAATATTGTACAGTATGTAGTTATTCATATTTTGTCTATAGGCTTTACTATTCGAAGCTATTGTATACAATATTAGCTTAAATGTAGTCTTAAGATACTGATGATTAACACCTTTCTTATTACTATTTATTTGATTATTACCTCTTTTTCTGGGCTAATATATATATTTTCTTTTGTAGTAAGAGAAAGAGTAGAGAAACTAGAATTAATAATAAATGGAGAGAAGAATATTGACGGAGGAGATGGGTCAGGCGATGGGATGCCAGCCAAACCTGGTTATCTGAAGAAACCATGTGAGTATTGGATATTTATGGAATGGTGTATAATTAATGCAAGAATTATTCCCTTTAACCAGAAGTATTAAGGGGTTATTTGGGAACCTAGTGTTGCTGCCTAGTATTCAATCATTCAAAAGGGAGTGAAATAACAAGACATGGTGGCCATTATGGTTTATATAACAAAATAATTCATTGACAATTCTTTTGTTAAATTACACCAAAATGGCAGCTATGATGTCATGTGCAAACAAAGAATAGACCCCTTGCACTGATGTTCTTAATATCTGTCATGCAATCTTCCACTTCCCTTTGTGGAAGGGGGGGGGGATTGCACGAAAGACTCCAATAACGTCTGCATAAGAGGCTACCTTAATAGTTCAATCAATGATTTAAATCCTCTTGTTCCCAGCTGCAAGTCAACTGATGTCGCAGAAACTAAAAACTACATACAAGGCATCTACTAGTAAAGTAAGTTCTGTATTCCATTTTACCACAGTGTTAGGGTCAGGTTTATATCCTTTAGGGTCCCAGCTGAGTAAACGTTCAGATTCAAGGTATACTTTTTAAAATTATTTTTTGAATATCGCTTGTGAATATTGGAAATTTGGATTCCAATTAGAATTGAGAATTTTATTATAGGTATTTATCAATAATATTGCTTATAATCTTTTGCCTAATTCCTTTTGTTTTGACAACCTATTTTGAATACCTATTTCAAAAACRTTGTTGGCGACAAGGTTTTTAAAAATAGGTGTATACAATTAAGTCATGTTTATTTATGAAGGTCAACACAGCTGGTTGTATGGTTTATCCAGGCTGAATTGATAATCATTTTTGAATTTTGGCTGGCAAACATGTAGACTYGGTAGAATCTCTGTTACAAGCTGCCAGCCATCTATTTAGTAGCTAGTTAAAGTCCCAACAAGCTTAAAATTGCACCAATATTTTTTAATTTTAAGTAGTCAAAAAGATCATTTGTCAAAGCCTCATTGAGGGTTATTGTTTACCCTAATTGATACCTCTATAAGCCTTTTCATAGTTTAAGAATCGATTCCACTGCGCATGCGATTATATCCCAAATTTCTCACCTTCTTTTGTTTAATTAAGAACAAAAGAAAGTTTAGACAAAAGAAGGTGAGAAATTCGGGATAAAATCGCATGCGCAGTGGAATCGATTCTTAAACTATGAAAAGGCTTATTACTGTAAACCACTAATAATTATGTATTCATGACCAATGTGTCAATCAACAATCACCCAACTGTCGGCCAATGCACGATTGACAATTGACAGAATAATGTCAATCTCTACTAACTTGTGATGCCAAGTCTGAAAAATCTCAAATGTCACCACATTTTTCCATAATTTGTACATCTGTAAATCTTTGATCAACTCTCCTAGTCAACCTCTATGTTTTATCTTTAATTTGCATTTGAATGTAGATTGTATCAAGTTTTAAAATTCCTAATCAAGCTGCAAGTATAGAGTGCCGTAGGTTAAAGAGCTATGTTGGTCACAGAGATGGTGTATGGGAGGTGTCCTATGCTCGTCATGGACCTGCTGTTATTGCCACAGCATCTGCAGGTACATCCTTTTCATTAATCGATGATTTAGCACATGATATTGTAAAATATCTGTTATTTATAATTGGTTGGGAGCGCCTGCTTTATGAGAGCACACAGGAGTTRTAAAACCCTTGGGGATTGACAGAACAGCTACGAGCCATGCTTCTCCTAACACGTCTCTTGGTTCTACTAATCCCTATGAGCTTCATAACTGCACATATCAGGTGTTCGCGTTTTCTATTTCTTCAATTGAATTTTATGGGTTTTTTTTTTTTAATGATTGCTATGGAGATTGCTGAAACACCTACATGTAGGTACAGCATTCTAGAAAAAAGCCTGAAATGCCACACTTTTCAGCCAATCGAATTACAAAAATTTTTTATATGTTGTAAATGCAGACATTTTTGGAATTTCAAATGAAGTTTTTATATTGTCATTGTTAGTGTGCTTTTGTACAAGAAAAATGGTTTAAACATATCAATAATTTGCCTTTGCGATTGTTTCATAGATCGTTTAGCACGTTTATGGGATGTTGAAACTGGTCAATGTCTTTTAAAGTACCTGGGTCACATTGGATCAGGTAGGGAGTACTTTAAACAACATTACTGCTATTTATAGTGGTCTCACTAGTGGGAATATATTAAGAAGTATTGGCATATCACTAGTCACTATCACTAGTCACTGTCACTACCACTAGCTCTTTTACTGCAACAAAGGACTAGCGTCCAAAGTGCCAGTAAGTTTTTTCATATTTTCACAGCATATAATTTACCCTTTTATCATTTTTGTTTCCTTAGAAACACAGACGCAGCTCACACTAGTTTCTAGTTAGTTATCTCTTCATATCACTAGTCATTTCAGCTCAAACATGTAAAGGTTGTACAGTTATATTCTGGCACAATTAAGCATTTTAGTGGTCTTACTGTACTCTGCCTGATCTGTAGAACTTTGCTGTTTTTAGTGTCTTTTATCCCACCTTGCCCTCCATTGTGCTGTTTTTTTTTGTTCATGACCTCCAGCAGGTCTTGCTCTCATTTTCATGTACCATATAAGTGCAGCTAGACCAATGAAAATAGAATACTGTGAAAAGCAATCTTCAATAAATTTCTAATACAAACCTTTCAACATTTTTATGTCGTAGTGAATTCAGTCAGATTCCACCCCACAGAACCTCTTGTGTGTACAGGTATTACTCACTGGATTTATACAATCATATATATGCCAGCTGTTAGTACTGTTAATATGTTTCACTTATTATCTTAGTTCTGATTGGACGGTAGAATTCTTCTTCTTCATTATTAGCGTACAAAATGCAGGGTTCGTGCTACTCCTTAAACTCCTTGAAAACTCCTTGAATTTAATTCACGTTTTCAAGGGCACTTGAAAAGCTCTTGAATTTTATGATTTTAGCAAAACTCCTTGAAAACTCATTGAATTTTTGCTTCAATCATTACTTACATGGTTCTGAAATAGATCTAGTCAGAAAGATGGRAAAATCTGAAAGTAGCTTTTCTCCTCCAAACCCCTCCCCCTAGCAATGTTGAATGGATGAATGTTCTTGTACCACCAATAGTTAGCTGAAACAACATTGATAATGGAAAGGGGGGTTTATAGTATCTCATAATAAATTGTAGACCAAAATTTTTGCAAAGAATTTCCATGAGATTAGACATTAAGCATAGGGTTCTCATTATTTTATTTCCCTATTGAACCTCTTGGCTGATCAAACTGGACAGGACACAGCTAACTTAAAACATTGACAACTCTTAAAACTCCAGTCTATGTGGGCTTAGCCTCCAATCCAGGAGTTCCTTGTTTTGTTATTCTAATTTCTACTTTTGTTTACTGACATCAGAAGTGAGGATAAGCCCACATACATTGGAGTTTTTAGAGTCGTCAATAAACATGTAGAAGATAAAATTCCTTAGAGATTTGTTATCACTTTTTGAACTTCTTACCTGATTAGGGATCAAGACTYGTGTGTCTTTAGCTCATGCATAGTAGACAAGGTTACTAATAAATGCAACATGATTGTTATAGCTTCTGGAGATGGAACCTGTCATGTATGGAGAGCTAATGTATCAATACCTGAACCAGTGAGTATATGATGGGGAAGGGGGGGGTACTTCCTTTGCTCAAGTGGTAAGGTAAATTAAGAGCCGTTGAAGCCAAGTTGATTTCAACTCCTAAAAGAAATGCCCATATACTGTATGATTGAAAGTGATTGTTATGATATTGTTTTAATTTTACTGTTTAAGTAACTGCATAACATCTTTCTTCTGTTCTTTCATGTTTATTCAAAAAAATAAATAAAACAACAATTGACCCAAAAAGGTACAAAGTCATGTTTCGGAACTGACTTTTGAGCCAGGACCTCTAAAAGGTTCATACAGGAAATATTTTCAACGCCAAAAGGATGGCCAGTCACCCCTACCACTTAGACAAAGGGAGTACCCCATTCCCCTCCAAGCTCCAATATGCTTTATTATCGATTCTGGTAGCCTGCGTCACATCCGGAATTTTCTTCGTAAACACTGTTTATTTACGAAGAAAATTCAGGATGTGACGCAGGCTACGATTCTGGTGCCTTTCTTTGCATACTTATGTGACCACTTTTTGTGGCTACTGCTTCGATAGAAGTGTCAGAGAAATGAAGAATGAAGAATGTCATCGTGTTGAGTGTGTGAGTGAAACACATTGCTTACACATAGTGCCAATCATGTGACATGACATAACCAGTCACATGATCACAAAAAACTGTAATTGCTCTATAAATATGTGATCAATGTGAGTCAAACTTGGACAGACATACTTTGCTGAACACTGCTTACACATCTTTCAATCATGTGACATATGACGTCACCAGTCATGAAAACTTCATGGTGTTGAAAATGGAAGTAGACACATGCAGACTTTGACAGCGTATTTTGTCACTTATTGTAGCGCTCTCTTCCTGGATCTGCTGATGAAGCTGATGCTGGTCAGAGTGATCAAGATGACGCTGAAGGTAGGTAGCACCTATCCTAGTGTTTCTGATGCCATTAGATCTAGCTATCATAATATACTATTGATATTATCTCTACAACAGGTCTTGATAATCAGGATGGGTCCACCCCTACGATTATTAAATCACCAACACTGGAACTCAAAGGACATGAAGGTAGCTTTATTTCTTTAGCTGAGCTTTGGTTATTTTAATTACATTAATTATGTACATCTAGTGTAGGTACRATATGAGAGGGGTATCCCTTGACACCACCCATTGTTACCCATTGGTGGCAGAACGAAATAAAAAAGGGGGTGGCTGAATGTAATCAAACGAGCAATAGCAAGAGGGGTATTTAAAACTAACCTAAAAAAAATTAAGTGGGGGTTGAGCCCCAAAAACTCTCAGCCCGTGCCACTTCCYGCCGCCTATGTGACCTCAGGTTTCTTAGGGTACTCTTATCCACAGCTTCCTTAAGTGCAGCAGACTAGTTTCTTTTGTCATACACCCAGGGTACAATACAGTAGGGGTATCTCCAGACCACACCCCTTGTCACCTCAGGTTTCCTAGGGCATCTTTAACCGTGTATTCTTATGCAAAGGTTCATTAAGTGCAGCAGACTGGTTTACTACTGATAAACAAATAGTTACAGCATCTCCAGACCACACCCCTCATCACCTTGGGTTTCCTAGGGCATCTTTAACCTGATATTCTTATCCAAAGGTTCATTAAGTGCTGCAGACTGGTTTACTACTGGTAAACAAATAGTTACAGCATCTTGGGATAGAACAGCCAAGCTTTGGGATGTAGAGACTGGAGAACAAGCCCATACACTTACAGGTTGGTAATATCTAGCATTACATTACATACAGTACATACATTGTATCTTTAGTGCTTCTTTGAAAGGGCTTTTCATTCAGCAATGTTACCATAAACGAATAAATATATTTAATACAGATAGAACTTCTATTTGCAATCTATTTGAAACACCAAAATAAAATAAATGAAAGTTTAAAAATATGTATAAAATACAGCTTTGAGAATACATATATATTATATTAACTCTACATTGATTGTTTTGCATCCACAGGTCATGATCAGGAGCTCACACACACGTGTACACACCCTATCCAACAACTGATTGTCACATCCTCTACTGATACCACATTCAGATTATGGGACTTCAGGACTCCTTCTATTCACTCTGTCAATGTATTCCAGGGACATTCTGAGTAAGTGGCATTCTTTACTTCCTTCCTCTTCCCTTATAAATAGATTGAGAAGAGATCCTTTGCTAGCCTCCTCCGAAGGCATTTCCTTGGCTCTTTTTTGCACCTCGGGCTTCCTGTGCCTCTTCCCCTCTCCTCCTCTCGTTACTAGTTCTTCTCTGCCATTAAATCTAAGACAGGAATCCCAACAGAGAATATATGGGGTAGCCTGCGGAGAAGGCTAATCCTTCACAAGCATCCTTCATTTCCAAAACTGTTTTTTAAAGTAAATAGATTGCAGTGCAAATCCAAAAAAAAACGTGGGCACTTTATTCACACAATATTCCAGGGATGTTTTATTGTTCTTTGTCCAGTCAGAATTGACACAAGATAACGGAAARATGACAATAACGCTTCTGATTGGTTAAGAAACATTCTTGGAATATTTCTAGGTGCTCACAGTTTTTCGATTGGCACTGTAATGTTATTGAGAGAGAAGAAGAAATGAAAAAAGGGAAAGGATTTAAGGGAAAGAGAAGGAAAAGAAATATAAAGAAAAGAAAAGAAAAGACAAAGGAACAAAAAGAAAAGACAAAAGAACGAAAAGAAAAGAAA